AGATGTAGATGTGAATGTAGATTCCAATTTTTTTATCCACACAAGGCACTACACTTGGGACTCATCTAGACTATGCTGAAGATTCGAAAGAGGATATGCAACCCCTTCCTTTTTCAAAAAGCCATATAAACCTCATTTTTTGAGGACAAGCGGCTTTTCAAAAAAGGGGGGGTTGCGAAAAAAATGCGTCTTGATTACTTTCACTTTCGAAAGCTCCGCTTTCAAAATTGAGATCCGAAGAAGATATGCAAATCCTGCAGAATTTGCATATCCTCGTTCAAATCATCCATGTAGTCTAGATGAGTCCATCGTATTCACATATATATCTGATCATTCTCTTCTTTAGTATAGCATCAACCAATATGACTGGGATTGAAGTTAAGATTACTGAGCTGTAATTGCCAGGATCACCTCTGGAGCCTTTTAAAAAATTGCTTTTCCCTTAGCAATCTGGCTCTCATCTACTATGGAACTGATTTAAGTGACAGGCTACATACTATAGTAAGTAGTTCTGCAAATTCATATTGCAGTTCCTTCAGAATACTTAGGTGAGTAACATCTGATCCTGATGCTATATTACTGAAATTTGTCAATTTGATCCCCCTCCATTTACACTTGCAATTTATCACGTTATAATAATGACACAGATGGGGAAATCTCCCTCACAAACTCTGCAGTGAAGACCAATGCAAAGAACACATTAAAGTTCTCCTCAACAGCCTTAATTTCCTTGACAGTTCCTTTTTAGTACCTTCATCATCCACTGGTGCCACTAATTGTTCTGGTGCCTTTTCCTGGTGTACATATATTTTTTTTTGCAGTTTTTGAGATTCATGATTTAACTTTGGTGGCCTTGTTTGGTCATTTATTTCATTATTATTTTGATGTATACATTACATTTGAGTCTCTGTTGTGGTATTTTAAAAAAATGTCCATGCAGCTTGTGACTTTTGGGACTGTACCTCATAATTTCCATTTAGCCAGTTTTTTGTAGTTGCCCTTTGTAAGATAGAGGAAACCCTGATGAGCTGCTTTGGTGCCTCCTCTCCCAGAAGGATGTTAAATGTAGTTATATTATAGTTGTTATTGCAGTGGTTTTTGGCTATAATGACTTCTAGGACCAAATCTTGTGCTCCACCTAGAAGTAATTAAGAATTACCTCTTTCCTTGTGGGTTCCAGGTCAAGTTTCTCCAAAATCCTATCATTAATGTGTCTAGAAACTCTTGCTCTACACCCGATACTTAGATGAAATGTACTCAGTCTATGTGGGGATAGTTAAGAACCCCCATTGAGAATTGCACTGTTATAGAACACTCTCTTATCTCCCAGAGTATTTCATCATTGACATCGTGGTCAAATCATCACCAACATATTTGTTTTGATATATTCTTATTATTCATACATGGAACTTCCATGGTACAATTTGATGCATTTAAGTTTTTTATTATGTTTGACTCGGTGCTTTCTTTTACATTGTCAGTCTAGGGTGCAATCTAACTGGCGTCGGTGTCCCCTTAATTTTCTAGCCTAGGGTATCTTTTACACTGTAACCACTTCTGACCTGCTTGAACACCTTCTACTGTTTAAATTACTCCCAGTATTCTTAGCCAGCTGCTGCCAAATTCTATTGCAGAAAGAAATAGAGGCACCAATCCCATACTTGCCCTCAGAAACATGTGTCTTGTACTGCTGAGTACCTTCCTGGATAACAAACTCATAGACAGTCTATCATTTCATTTAAAAAAATGTCATGCACAAACCTTATCTGAAATTAAGTTTCTCAAAACTTCAGTCCAAACACACACTGGTTTAAATAACATAATAAAACAAGTTTATTAACTACAAATAATGAAGCATTTTCACATGCTTAAAGCCCTTTGAAGTCAAAGTGTTCAAATGAATAGGGATGGGCTGCTCAATCAAACCTCTAAAACCTTCCTCAGTGAAATAATGACTAAATAAGGACATCTGGGAATCAGATTTGACAGACAGGTTCTATGGTTGAATGCAAATTCTGAGTAAACTCTGCTAATGGAGATTTGTTTTATGATTGATTTTCAAGTTTTTTGGGAGCCAGCAATGTTCCATTTCCTGGAGGAGAGCACAAAGATGTATTATAAATCTATGTTCAAAATTCATGGAAAAAAGATCAACATATTCAGTATCAATCATGGTAAACTGTCAAGGTGAAAGTCACAGAAGAGTATTTTCAAGATCATTCTGCTTCAGACCAGTCATTAAGTTGACACACATTTCATTTCAGGTTTGTATTTTTAAATACTTATAGCAGTTATGTGCTGAAGATTTATGGAGTCTCATTTTCAATGTATTATGAATAATGAACATTGAATATTTAATAATTTTGTATAGTATTCTCCATGAGAGTTTATAAGGTTAAAAAATAAAATGAGACAGTCTTTTCCATTTAAATTCTTCCTTATTCTGAGCAAGCTGTTTGTAGAAAGCCACAGTTGACTTTGGTATTTATATCCTGTAAATACTGGGAATTTTATTCAAAGTGAGCTCAGGTTTCAGTAAAAATCATTTCCATCTGTTGCCATAAAGTGATACAGCATAATGAACAATAGCTGACACCTGGCCTGACATGAGTCATTAAAGATGGAGGGATGCCTCATTTTTTGGAAGACAGAATTAGGGAAGGAAATGATTCATCAGGTTAAAAACAGAATGTTTGTGCTAACTAAGATTAGTAAATCTGTGGGCCAAGAAGAGAAATAAAGAGAGCACAGGACAAATATAAGAGGGGAAACAGGCAGGGAACTATTTTCTATGAACTAGATAATAAGGGAAGTTAGGCATGTAGAAATGAGGTAAAGATGAAGCTGGATCATGGACTGCACATGGTGCACAAAGATTGCTTCCGGCAAAGTAACTAAACCAAGTCAAGGTTGTGTGATGCCGTGTAAATGCAATGAAATTAATGAAATATACATAAAGGGAAAATTTTTCTGTGTATCTTTAGAGCTGTGATGTCTCTCTCATCTATCCCCCCTTCTTTTCAATCTAATCAACTCAATACATGATACATATAAAGATACATAAGTGAGAAAAGCTGGGATTAAACTGAACTTTTGGGCAGCCAAGTAGAAAGGCCTTGCAAGGAATCCCAATAGGTATCATGAAATGAAGGGATTAAAATGAAGCGATGAATATGCAATGACAGAAGCTTTTTTATTTTAATCTTACCAAATTTCTCCCTGGAAAAGGGAGACTTATAATGTAAAATAATACATCAGAATCTAGAGTGTGCATTTTTTCCAACCCATATTATTCTTTGGTTCCAGAGTTATGACAGATAGACTTGGTCAGAAAATGGATTTTCTCTAGTGACAAATTCCAAATCAGATTGAAAAGCCAACGCTACAAAAATTATCATAAATCAAAATACTAAAAAAAAAGATTGAGGCCAATCAAAATATTTTGGTTTGATTTTAACCCTTTACATTATTTTATTTATTTCATATACAATAAAATATATTTCAAAATGGAAAAAAGGCAAAACAAAAAATTAAAATTTCTTATGCAAATATGTCAACATTCAAATTAAATGTTGTCATCATAAATCTGAATAAAAACAGTCAAATTGGCATTTTTTAATTGGATGATGTTTTAGTGAATTTTTTCTCACAAGCTGTAACCACAGCTGGTGGGGGAGTGGGCGACAGTCTTGCTGGTGCATTGGGCAAGGTAGGTGGGCTGGCTCTCAACTCCCAGAAGAAGTAGGCCTCAGGCAGAAGGGGCAGGGAAGGGGGCTAGCTTCCCTGTGTCAGGCTTTCAGTGCTGCCACAAGTGCCTCCCCATCACCCAGCCAAAAGAGCATGGCAAAGAACTACGGCAGTGAATTATAGGGCTCAGGGCTCCAGCTGCCACCACTGCTGCAGTAGTGGCAGCAGTGGCTGGCAGCCCTGAGCCTTCTTGAATTGCCAGGCCCCAGGAAAGTTGCCACCTTTGCTTCACCCGGTTAGTGGGTCTGACGATAGGGTATCTTGTCATATCTGTTCTTTTCCAATTTGATCTAACTTGAATGAGCATCATACTAGAGGGACTTAAAAAACAGCAACAACAACAAAAACCCTCAGTAAATAGTGATATTGAGGGTATATGTACACAGCAGTATTATTTTGGAATAACTAACATTATTCTGAAATAGCATAGCATACATCTACACTACAAGCCTTTATTTTTAAATAATGTCGAGCTAGAGGACTTCTTACTCCAACTCATGGTACTCCTCATTTCATGAGGAGTAAGGGAAGTCAAAGGATAAGTGTTCTTTCTTCAACTTCCTGTTGTGTAGACAGCGTGAAAAGCTGAATCAAGCTATTTCAACATAAGCAATGCAATTGATGTAGCTGAAGTTGCATAGCTTTATTTGACTTTAGCCCTGCTGTGTAGATGTACCCTAAGTAACAGACTACGTGGGAAGGGTGGGGAAGAAATATTTTCTGAATTATTATTTTTGGTAATTTATTTTATTTTGTCCTACGTTTATTATATGGTAAATGCTATGAACATCATCAAGCTAGACAACAAAGAACGTACATAGAAAGAAGAAGAAGAAGAAGAAGAAGAAGAAGAAGAAGAAGAAGAAGAAGATTATATCTGGAATTTTACAGATTAGATCATATGAAATGTCACAGCTCCAATATTTTATTGTCTAGGTTTTAGACATCATGCTGAAAATATAAAAGGTGAAAACAAACAAAGGATAGACTGTGATGGTCTAGATCGGGATGGCCAACCCGCAGCTCGTGAGTTGCATGTGGCTCTTCAAAAAAAATTGCGGCACCCACACCACGGCTCGGGGCTCTGAAAGGGGAAACTTGGGACACCGGTGCATGGGACACCAGTGTAGACTTCAAAATGTCCACCTTCAAAAATCCTGCTCTGTTCTTAAAAGGGCTGTGGCCACCCTCCCACATACACACACACCCTCACCTTTTTTTTTTTTTGATCGACCAAATGGTAGCTGGGTGACTTTTTTTTTTTTTCAACAACTTTTTTTCCCTCGGCTCTTTGTACTGTATCTACCACTATTTTGGCTTTTCATCTGTAACAGGTTGGCCACCCCTGCTCTAGATAGATTTACTTAGCTACAGTGATTAAGTCGATTCTTTTAGTTTATGAGCATTTAATGCATATATCTCTGGCAAATTAATTTGAGTAGATAACTTCCTGCTTTATAGATCAGGAAGGTTTTAAATGAAGCAAGTATTGTTGCTTTGTTTTTCAATAGCATTCCAGGCACAGATGGCAGCATGTTACTTTATTAGCTATCCTCTTACTACACTATTTGTCAGCCACAGTTAAAAGATTAAGTGTCCACTCCATTAAAAATTGGAGTTCTATTTCAAATAAGTCAGAAAAAAGCTATGTTGCAGTTTTGTCTCCTGAAATGGTTACAATTCTATTGTTGAGTACTTCTAGTAGGAGTTTAAAAGAGGTAAAGATTAAAAGATAAAAATGTGCACATGGTCTATAAGCTTACGATAAATTTTATAAGAAAAACTCAAACCAGACAAAAATCAACCTCCTCTTATAAACTATATATGTTAGTTGCAAATATAGTGTATAATTATAAAATATGAAACTATTGTTCGATGAGTACACAGACAGATTATTTGCACTATGGGGGCACCTGTGGCACTAACTGGGATCATGGTCCATCACTCTAGGTGCTATGTCTACACTACCACCCTAGTTCAAACTTCATTTGCATCTTGCCGGGCACCGCCATTTTTAAATCCCTGTTAGTGCGGACTCCATGCCCGCGGCTACACGCGGCACAGAGTAGGTAATTTGAATTAGGCTTTCTAGTTCAAACTATCGTTACTCCTAACGGGGATTTAAAAATGGCGGCTCCCGGCAAGATGCAGATGAAGCTCGGGGTATTTAAATTCCGGGCTTCATTTGCAACTTCTAATGACTACATTAACCACCCTAGTTTGAACTAGGGTGGTAGTGTAGACATACCCTAAGAGTGCTGACTGTGAAGACCCTGACATTTTCAATAGACAAGATGGAAAAAGGACAGGAGGCAAAACTGATGTAGCATTTATATGATTTGCTCAAAGTCTTTCAGCAGATCTGTGACAAAGACAGGAATTAATCCAGGTCTCCTGATTCCCAGTTTAATCCTATATTCCTTGGACTACAGTGCTTCTTAGGATGTTTAAAGATATCTTCTTCTTCTTCTTCATTGTCATTGTCATTGTCATCGTCATCGTCATCGTCATCATCATCATCATCATCATCGTCATTATCCACAAGCATCTGAAATAAAAATAACATTTTTTCAATAGTACATATTTTTATTGAATCAGCAAACAGTAACTGGAATTTGAGCTGGCTGATTCTTTTGGAGAGGTCTAGCAAGGAGAGTACTCTTCAGAAATATAGTTTGTGGCTGACCAATTCTTTTCCACTCTTTTTTGAGTGGAAAATGACAAAAAAGGTGTGTCAGGGAGGAATTCTGAAAAAGTTTCTACATTTTTAAAATGAAATGTTTTGACTTTACTTTTAGAAATAATGGCTTTTTTAATGTAGCTAGATTTAACTAAAGGAAAACAAAACATCAAACAAAACAAAAAAAACCAAACTCCCCCTAAAAGTTGAAAATTCATACACAATTCCCCAAACCCCCCCAAATACTTTGTCTTCGTTTGAGCATAACATCATAATACCTGGATTTGATTTTTCATTACAGCAAGAAAAATCAGATATTTTCTCAAATAAATTTGAAATATTTATTTCTCTGATTTTTCTATGATTTTTTTTCATTTGGCCACTAAACTGAAAAAAAAATTCATACAGATCTAATTATAATATAATCTTTAATCATGGCTTTCCATCTAGGGAAAGGGTGCAGTGGGGGAGAGGCAGGGGACATCAGAGGGGGGGAAGGTTAAACTATCTCTCAGCTGCATCAGAAATCAGCACCTATGTCTTTTACAATCCAATATCATTAAATATAAATGATATTTTGAAGTCAGATACAAAATTGTGACCAAAAATAGAAAATGCTTATCATAAATTATTTAAAGCAACTCTCTATTTGATAAGATTATATCTGAACTTGGAAGATGAAATGTTTAATGGTTAATGTTGGTAGATGTCAATTTTACCATACACACAGAAACTAATTTAAATATTTTTCATAGATAATAATTAATATTTACAAATAAGCAGAAAAAGGAAAATATCGCTTGAGAATATATTAGAGTTTCACTCAATGGGCATTTATTTGAGCATTTTAACATACGATGTTGGCAATTTGTGTTTTAATGGTTTCGTTTTCTTTAAACACCTACTATCATTAAATATTGAGTGTCTGATACGCCTCCATTATTTCCTGCAACTGTGAAAATACTTAAAATAAACATTAATTTTAGCCATCAATATTATATAGAGATTAAAAAAATCTGCCAAGACCAGAAATGTGTTCTTTGAGACCCAATGAAACACGACATTTGAACATCTCTACATTTGACCTCCCTATTGAGACTCTCAAAGGCGCTAAAGATGGAAGGAACTACTGAGTCACTTTTTCCGATATTTGTCTTCCTGCCATTATGAATAAACTCCCCCTTTTAGTACTAATAAGAATGCCATAATCCACATAGGATACATTTCTGATATTGTAGTTACAGAACCATGAACTAATGGGAAGGAAAGCAGAAAATGAATAGACCCAGAGGAAATAAACATGTTATCTTCTAGTCTTAATACAAAGTGTTGTACATGTTCACTTCATTGTATGCTAAGCATTCTTGTTTGCTAAAAATATATTTTCTGTCCAAAACCTTTATACAGTTTTGCAAACTTCTCAACAAAAATTCAAAGTTAGCTTCTGTCTTTGATTGAATATTTTGAAGTATGTGTCAACACTTCATAGTAAATGTCCTGAAAAAGTATTTTTACAATCAAAAACTTCTCCAATAACTTTCATATTTCAAAAATAAGCTCCAGAAGATACCTACAGGGACTTGGGGTTTTCATAATATAAGGCAGGCACTCTCATTTAATATTTCATTTCCAAAGACAAAAGTTGCATATTTTGATCATGTAAACAAAGTGCAATGACTGATCTATTCAAAGGTGAACTTTCCCAGTAGGGAGTCTAGAATGTCAATTAGATAATGAATATTTATATATGTATAGTTGTACCATCTGTCAATAAAATGTAGAAAATGAGAAAAAGAAACTGAACAATTTTGGTCTAAAATATATTCAAGAGGATGGAAGAGAAAGTCTGAAAAATGCATGAGGGTGTTTCATGGTGTTCTGCCAACCACAGTCAGTTCTTGGATCTCTCTGCTGTTTGTCATCTTTGGTATTATTTCAGTTTTGATCCCTGAAGCAAACCTGTGGTATTTTATACAATATTTCAAGTTTATTTCTTGAGTGCAGCTGAGTCTTATAGGGTAACATTTTCAAAAAGTGCCTATTTGATTTAGGTGACACAGTACCATTCTCAAAAGTGAGTTCAGAAGCCCAAGTCTTACTGAGAGTCATTTGGGTTGAGGCTTCTAAATGCATAATTCAATTTTGAAAACTTGACTTAATCTCCTCAACAAAATACATTAGAAAAAGTTATCCTTAATTATTTTTTTATTTTACTTTTTGTATTGTCCCAATGATTAATTGATTTTGGTTCTTCACTGAAATTTGTTTCCTTCAATGTGCTCACTCATGCTATTACACCTGTGTTAACAGCTGCACACTTGTAAGCAGGGACAGGATTTGACATTTATTATGTATAAGGAACATGGGGGAATTGTGAGTAATACAGAAAATCTGTGCTTAAATTCATTTTCCAAAGAGGATATCCATTTCTTTTGAATGAATTAAGATGGTTCCATTTTTGAGATCTGGTGGAGCTGATTGGGAGGATATGAGCTTCTGAAGTTAAGAGGAAAGAAAATCACCCCATGACCTGGGAAATGACAAGTTACTTGCTGCTACTACCTTATCTGTTTGGGGAAAAGGGCAGCCACAAAGAATAAATTGGAAGGAAGTGATGAGTCATTAGATCATTATGGCCTCAATGACCGAGGTGGTTTAGCTAAAGTGTCTATCCATGTATGTAGGCCTACACTGTGAACAAACCCTGTAAGAGAATTCAGGGGCTATTTGGGTACATCTAAACTACGGTGGGTTTTTTTCAAAAAAGGATGTGCAAATTCTGTGGGAATTTGCATATCTGCTTCCGATCTCACTTTCAAAAGAGGACTCACTTTCGATATGCATATCCTCTTCCGAAAATAGAACATAGTCTAGACATAGCCTTTATGGATACAAGTGTTACACTCTGAGGGACTCAAGATCCGGTCAGCCCTTGTCTCCCTGGATACTGAAAAGAAAAAGTAGGAGTTAAGACCATACTCCCATCAAGCACTGAACAAAGAGAGACTAAGTTCTATCTGAAACTGTACTTATCTCCAGCTGCACGGAGTCACATCTTTGGTGAATATGCCTATCTGTGGCATAATCTGCCTGATACTCTTAATCGTGAAGTGATGCTTTTCACTGCCTCATAACTCACAGCTAATATTGTTTATCACACTCTAGCCCATAGAATATGGGAAAACAGCTCTAACCGCTGGGAATACCTGCTCTATTTGTGGCTACTTTCAATTATGTGAACTATATTAAAAAAAAGTGGACAGTCAAGAATATTTGTATCAAACTCATAAACAAAGTCAACCATACATGCCATACGTGTTCTTTGGTATGTGCCAAGAGTAGGAAAGAATGGGAGACCTAGACATGATTTCCCTGAGTCTGAATATTACCTCTTATCAAATAAGTGGCAAAGCATCCACGTTTTCCATGATTTAAAAATTAAACTATTTAAAAGGGAAAAATCTATTTTATCATGCTTAAAATGAAATGGTGACTTTAATTTCCCTACCACAAAATACATACAGGTTTAAAGTGGACACATTTTTAACCAGTTCAAAGATTAGTGCCATCAATCATTATAACACAATAAAATTTGTAGAATTGCAATTGTATTTCTTATCTAAACCACATTATTCTATGTCTATATTCTATATTTTCAGAAAATTGTTTGTTTAAAATGGAAAAAAAGTAATGGTCCCACTATCAACCTGGGCAGCAGGGATAAAGCTGTCAGCTCTAGGCAGAAGTGCTTCTGGGTACGTCTACACTACAGCGCTAGTTCGAACTAACTTAGTTCAAATTAGTTAATTCGAACTAAGCTAATTCGAACTAACGCGTCTAGAACTAAAAACTAGTTCGAATTAGCGTTTTGCTAATTCGAACTAGCAAGTCCACATTGAGAGGACCCTGAACAGGGCTTAAGGATGGCCGGAAGCAGTGCCGGCAGGGCATAAGAGGAGGACTTAGAGCATGGAGATGCTGTCTCAGGCTAGCCGAGGGCTGCGCTTAAAGGGTCCCGACCCCCACCCCGGACACACAGTTCTAAGGGGTGCCCCGCTTGCAAAGAAGTTCTGGCTTGGAGTGCCCGGAGTACCCACACTGGGCACATCACAGCACTTGGCCATCAGCCCGGCTGCACTTGCCGCAGGCTGCCATCTGGGGAGAGGGGGCAATTGGGGGGCTGCAGGAGAGCTTCCACCCCCAGAAGCGCGCAGAGCCAGCCCAGTCCTCCCCATCGGGGGCTCGTACCCCATTCCTCCCTCACCTCCTTCCACTTACCCTTCCCTAGCCCCCCTTCTTATTGATGTACAAAATAAAGATAACGTTTCTTCCAACATTGACTCTGTCTTTATTGAAAAAAACTGGGGGAGACTGGGAAAAGGAGGTGGGAGAGGGGAAGAGAAAGGCTGGGAGAGGGGAGGGCAACTAACATGATCAGGGGTTGGGAACAGGTCCCAGATGAAGAAAGGCTACAGAGACTGGGACTGTTCAGCTTAGAAAAGAGGAGACGGAGGGGGGACAGGATAGAGGTCTCTAAAAGCAGGGGTTGGGTGGAGAGGGTGCATTCAGAAAAGTTCTTCCTGAGTTCCCATAAAGAAGGACTAGAGGACACCAAAGGAAAGGAATGGGTAGCAGGCTTGAAACTAGTAAGAGAAAGTTGTTGTTCTTGACAAAGCAAATAGTTAACCTGTGGAACTCCTTGCTGCAGGAGGCTGTGAAGGCTACAACTAGAACAGAGTTTAAAGGGAAGTGAGATAAAGTGATGGAGGTTGGGTCCATGGAGTCCTATTAGCCAGAGGGTAGGAGTGGTGTCCCTGCCCAAAGTTTGTGGAAGGCTGGAGAGGGATGGCACGAGACAAATGGCTTGG